AATGGATAAAGAAGATGTGGTACATATACACAGTGGAATATTATTCAGCCATAAGAAGAAAACAAATCCTACCATTTGCAACAATATGGATGGAGCTAGAGGGTATTATGCTCAGTGAAATAAGCCAGGCGGTGAAAGACAAGTATCAAATGATTCCACTCATATGTGGAGTATAAGAATAAAGAAAAACTGAAGGAACAAAACAACAGCAGAGTCACAGAACCCAAGAATGGACTAATAGTTACCAAAGGGAGGATGACTGGGAAGGTAGGGATAAGGACGGGGAAAAAGAAAGGGGTATTACGATTGGCATGTGTAATTAGCATGTAGAGGGGGGCATGGGGATGGCTGTGCAACACAGTGAAGACAAGTAGTGATTCTACAGCATCTTACTACGCTGATGGACAGTGACTGTAATGGGGTTGCGGGGCGGGGGGAACTTATTGAAGGGGGGAGCCTAGTAAACATAATGTTCTTCATGTCATTGTAGATTAATGATAACAAATTTTTTTAAAAGTGTATTAGCTATTTTCAGTGCTTACAGAAATTTGAAAAAAAAGTATGCTTCATGAAATACTCTCCTGCCTGCTGCTTCTAGTTTCTTTTAGTGATTAACAGGAGCTTTAATTTGCATGCTCACTTTTATGCTTATTATAATATGTTATGTTCTAGTAAGAGTATTAAAGTTCAATAAAAATCTCATGCATACTAATGAGAGTGCAAGATGAAAGAATGCTAGATCTTAAGGCATAAACTGCCCAGTTATCTTGCTAAATTCTATTCACATAATAGTTACATTATAATGAAGACTGATATAGAATCCACCATACAGATATAATTAGCAATAGCAAAATCATTATATAATTTATAATTGGATAGAGGTTCAGTTCCAGATTTTTCTGAGGTTAAAAAAAAAGAGAGAAATCTAATGATCTGATATTAATACTTATTTCTATTCCTTCCTCATGCTAACCTTTGCCAACCTTCAGCAGGATATTTCCTTTGTTGTATATAATGATTGGGAAAATAGGGGTGATTATATAAATTAGTGATCACGTTGAATATTTCCAGCTGTAAGCTTTATTGGATACATAAGAGTGAATGGACATCAGCCATCCTCTCAAGAAGACGTTTCAAGTATCTGGTTATTGTATAATTACAAATACACAAATTTATTCCTGTAATTGCATTTATTCATCTAGAGAAAACAGAGATCATTTTACTTCAGCCACTGGAAACAAAGCTAAAGGATGCCCTTATATCTTTCCTTAAAGAATCATGTGTCCCATGAGAGTGAATCATCTAGGTGGTAGTTACTAGAGTTATATTACATTCTTCCATCTATGAATGAATTTTATAAATGTGTATAAAACCAGTATGCTTTAGAAAACACATATCAGTTTCTTCAACATGTTACTCTACCTTGGGATTTTTTAAAATTTGTATTCTATTGAAGTATTTTTCTTTTTCCAATTGTACAAAAACCTTTAAAATGTTGTTTTATGGACTCATCAGTAAGACAAATTATTGTTTTGTTTTTCTCGTGGTGATAGTAAGTGTGCATTGTGCCACTTTTTCAGCATGGTTTAATACCAACCGTATGTGCTCATAGGCTACAATACATGGTAATCATTAGTACAAAATGTAATAGTTAATGATGATTTTTATTTTAGATAATATGAAATTATGTTGGAATCAAGTAATATAGTTGTTACTAAAAGGATTATACTTAGTGGCAGTCCTAGCACAGGGATTGGCAGACGTTTTCTTCAGAGGGCCAGATGGTAAATATTTTAGGCTATGTGGGCTATAAGGTCTTTGTTGTAACTACTCAACTCTGCTGTTGCAGTGCAAAAGCAGCCATAGATATTATGTAAACAAATAAGCGTGGCTGTGTGTCAATAAAGCCTTACTTATGAACACTGACATTTGAATTCTGTATAATTTTTATGAATTATTGTGTCATGAAATATTGTTCTTCATTTTATTTTTATTTTTTTGACCATGGGTTGAACTTGACTTCCAGGCTATAGTTTGCCAGCCCTGCCCTAGTAGTTGACTTTTCTGAATTAACTTTCTAATCTAAATTAAAACTGGAGATTTACTGCTCAAACCTTTTAGAGGTATATAGCTCATATTGAATTATTTTAAAAGAAGCCTATTTCCTAGAAAAAAAATGCCCATAAATACAGATAAGTAACTTTTATTTTGACCATAAGAGGAAATTGAAAAATTCCATAAGCCACTTATTTCCTTGATTGCACAGAGGAATCTTGCTATTGCTAAGCTGGATTTTCTCATATAGGTCAAAATCCCATTACTACAAATATTTTTATAGTTGAAGTATTTTATAGTGGAAATATTCATTCAACAGCTATATTAAGTACCTACTCTTTCAAAAGGCATTTAGGTGGTAGAAAAATAAATCTCCCATGGATGCATCCTGCCCTTGACAACCTTACAACTTAACAAGAATATAAAACCTGTGGTTAGAAATGGACCAGATAGGAGTGTAAGCTGTAAAAAAGAGAATGCAGAAAAGAATTAGCAGGGATAGAAGTTCAGAAAAAGAAGTAAAGAGGGCAAAACACTGGGACTATATTAAAATACATGTATGGGATTATTGTGAGAGAGAACAACACAGGGAGAGAGAAGTAGTCCTGGGTCCACAGTTGAATGTTGCTATTTCTACCCCCACAACCATTCAGACTTTTCATCAGGACAGGTCCTGGTGTTCTTTCTTAAATGACAGAAGGAAGGTGAGTAGAACTGGTCAGAGGAAAAGGTGGCTAGTAAATAGACAGAGCTGATTTTAGAGCCAGTTCTAGCAGGGTTTGATTCCCAGTCTGTTACTTGTTAATTATATGAATTTAAGGAAGGTGCTTAATCTTTCTGAACCTCAGTTTTCCATTCTGTAAAATGGGATCAATGACCAATGATTCTTATTTTCTGACATATAGTTAGAGTGGCAATGTATTTCTCTTCCTAATTTACTGTTCTTTGCTTGTTGCTTACTTAAGTTTGGGAGACTGCTTAGTAAAGCATGGGTGGTTTGGGGGGTCAGATCTGGATTCAAATCCCACCATTATTACTTAATGTATAAACTTGAGAAAGTTATTTAATTTCTCTATAAAAAAAGGATATGTCACAATTTTTAAATGAATATTAAGTCAACTAGAGAGATAACAGTGGTTTGCCACTTTTTAAAGACCATGTTACTTACAGTATATTTTCTCAGTTTCCAGTATCCTCATACATACAATACAAAGATGTATTGACCTTTGTATTTTTGAGTCTGTTGTAAAAAATATAGGTTTATTGAATAAGTGATAATAGTAATGATTTAGACTTGTATGCTTACTCTATGTCAGATTCTGAGCTAAGAATTTAATACATCATTTCATATGTTTCTTCTTCTACAACAATCCTAAAATGTAGATACTATTATCATTTATATTCTACAGATGGGAAATCTGATACCTAGAAAATTAAATAAGTTGCTCCAGGTGACACAGCTAGTAAGTGATGAAGTTAGGACTTGAACCCAGAAAATCTACCTCTACTCTCCTTTGCACTCTGCTGTGTGTCTTCTGTGTGTTTGTGCTGGACTTCCCTAGAAGCAGCTGCCTGACACCCTTAATACCATAAAGCGTCTGGACTAAATTGAATTCAGGCGATTATGAAGCATGATTTTAGATATGAAACTGTCCCCTTCATCCTCCCTACACTGTTGTATTTTTTTATAACACAAATTCCCACCTAACATTGTATGTTATGTCCTTTTCTGTGCCCCCTTCACTAGTATATGTACTATAGGAGAGGAAGAAATTCATGTTTGGTTCCCTGTTGTATCTCCAGTGCCTAAAACGTATATTAACTGGTGCTCAGGATTTTTTTATGCATGAATGAATAAAATGTTTGTGCAAAATATAGAAAACTTACATTTAAATGTTATTTTTCTTTCTAGCTTGGATTAGAAGAACAAGAAAGACTCCACCTACTATGGAGGTAAGAATATGCAAGGCAAATATTCAAGTAACATTTGTTTATAATATTTATATTTCCGATTGAGTTTGTACTCCAAGGGACACATGAAGCCTCAGAATATACGTTATGCATCTTCTCAAAGCATTCTCCATAGAAAATAATTTAAATTTTCAAAATAAAATAAATACACAAATAATGGAATATAACAAAATATTGGTAATTTTAAAATGGAACAATGAAAATTTAAAACAAAATAAAAACACTTTTTAGAAAGTTTAGACTTACAGCAGCTAGCATCAGGGTACTTCCCCTAATCCCTGGGAGTTTTCTGTTCTGTTATGGATGCTTTGGTAGAAAAATTTGAGAAACACTGTATCTCGTGGTCCTATCCACATCATGCTCTACTTATTTTGCCCTTAATTTTACATAACACCTAAAATTTTCTGATTTTATTTAAATTTAATCCTATCAAGTAACCAAAGAAACTCTAAAATATACAATTAGCATGTAACACGTAGTAATTAATAGTTGAAGTGAATTGTTATTTTAAACTTTAAAAACATAGTTTTGGAGGTATGCAGAATAAAAACATAGCAATGCTGTGGTATATACATTTTAAAAACATAGTTCTTAATTCTTATTTAAAACATTAGCATAAAATGATCTAAAATTATTTTGTAAGAATAAATGTATTTCATAATGGAAAGTTGCCAATTTCATCAATATGTTACCTATTCCTTTTGTTCTACAGTTCAGGACTTCCTTCTCTTTTCTGTCCCCAGATTCCCCCTCACAGCTACAAACCTGGTGACAATATAAATGAGCTCCAACACGCTGGCCCCACTTGTTGAGAGGTGGGATACTCCAGGGCAGCGTCATGATGGCCCATAAATTGACATGCCTATCTTTACTTGTTCCATTCCTCCTATGCTGACCCCATTGGTTTGTCTGGCCAGGGTCTGACTGAGCACATTGCTAAGGCCATTTCTAGCTTTGTATGTTACTTCCACCTTGGCCCTGTCCTCTTCTCTGACCCTTTCTAGTATCTCTGAACCTTGGAACTAAAGGCAAAAAAGACCAATGTGATCCAAGATTCAGAAGTATCGCCAGTGGTTTACGGTGATAGGATGGGCCAAGGAGCCTTTCTGATTCCCCTTCTGTTGGCCATAGTAAGAGGTACTCTTTCTGTAGCCAAAGGCGTTTCTTTTATCCTCAGAACTCTGAAAGCCTTCTTCCATCGAAACAGTGATATGCAAAGTGCTAGCTGGAGGCAACTGCAATAGTCAGGCCCAAGGCACCACCCCTGTAAACTTTAGGTAATCCCAGCATCTCAAACAAGCTCTAAACAGAACAGTTAAGACCAAGTCATTCTGCCCATGGTGCTTCCATCATTGGATATCTAAAAAAGGGGCCCCCTCTTGCCTTTTTTCTAACATACTATTAATCACATAGTTCTTTATGCTCTTTTCCCTCCTCAGAACACACACACACACACACACACACACACACATTTCCCTCCTTCCTGATCCTTTCTATTGTGTTTCAGGATTTCAGTTTCTTTGTTAGCAAAGTACTTTTCACCTTTCACCTTTAATGTTTTCTTAAGAACCTTCTCTACCACATAGCTTAACTGAAATCTGCCTGTGACTGAAAGATAGTGAGTTTCTCTTTCCTTGAAGTGAATTGTGGTCATGTTCCCACAACCCACAGAAGAAAAGTGGGTTCAGCTGTTCCTACCTTCCTGCAGTCACTTCCAAAGTATTCTTCTATTTTGTAGGCCCAGGGGACTGTAGTGCCTTGCAATCTGATTGTTTTTCTACCTGTTCATCACTTTTATCATTGCCAACCTCCAGGCCACTTTCCCACTCTGATGGCAGAGATGTGCCAGAATTACAGTCTTCTCCCGTCAACATCTTCTCCCCTTTAGTTCTTTGACTTCATAAACACTAGTATTCCCCCCCGAGTGAGAACCACTTCCGTAGCTCTCCACTTTGTTCTCATCTTTTAGGGAATTCCCAACCCCAAGTAGACTTATATCCATATCATCTGTACACTGTAGTTAAAGTTTAGGCAGTAGCAATTAGAATGCCACTTACAATAACATCAGAAAATATAAAATATCCTCATATAAATTAAGCAATATATAGGCAAGATATGTATACTTAAAACTATAGAACATTGGTGAGAGAAATTAAAGACCTAAATTAATGAGGAGAAATGTCTGTTCTTGGACTGGAACATTCAAAATTGCTAAGATGTTAATTCTCCCAAATTGATCCACAACAGTAATTCTTATACTTTATCACGAGTCAGTCACTGGGAAGGCTTGTTAAAACACAGACGGCTGGGCCTGTTTTTGATCTACTACGTCTGAGGGAAGGACTGAATATTCACATTTATAACAAGTTCCCTGGTGATGCTGATGGTGCTCGTCTTGGGACCACACTTTGTGAACCACTGTCTATAGAGTCAATCAAATAAAAATCAAATAAAATCCCATCATGCTTGTTTGGACAGAAATCAACATGCTGATTCTAAAATGTATATGGAAATGCAAAGGACCAAGAGTAGCTGAAATCAATCATGTTTTAAAAAGATGAAAATTAAAGAACTTACAGTGACTGGCTTTAGGACTTATCCTAAAACTATAGTAATTAACACAGTGTGGCACTAGCATAAAGATACATATAAATAAATCAATAGACAAGAACAGAGTCCAGAAATAGACACTAGATGGCCAGTTGGTTTTTGACAATAGCACCAAAAGAATACAATTAGGAATGGAAAGTCTTTCCAACAAGTGGTGCTAGATAACCTAATATCCACATGGAGAAAAAAATGAACCTTGATCCCTACCTCATATCATACACAAATATTAATTCAAGAGGGATTACAGACTAAACATAAAAGCTAAAACTATAATGCTTCTAGAAGAAAACATAACGGATTATCTTTGGGGTAGACAGGAAACAGAAAGCACTATCTATAAAGGAGAAATACCGAGAAATTGAACTTAATCAAAATGAAAAGCTAATGCTCATCAAAACAAAACATTAATAAAGCAACAGACTGGGAGAAAATAATCACTGTACATGTATCTGACAAAGGACATGTATCCTGACTATATAAAGAACACCTCAACTCAGTGATTTAAAAAAAAAGACAAAGTTATGAAAACTTGGGTAAAAATCTTGAACAGGCATGTCATAAGATATAAAAATGACCACTACTTGTATGACAAGATACTCAACATAACTAGGCATCAGGGAAACCACAATGTGATACGATTACATACCCATTCAAATGGCTAAAATTTGAAAGATTGACAGTAGCCGTAACTAGAGCAGCCATAAATTTCATACAGTGCTGGTTGGTATGAAAATGGCACAACCATGTTCAAAAACTGGCAGTTTGTTATAAAACCAAACACACACCTATCCTATGAGCCAACAGTTTCTCTCCTGATCACCTTGAAGACAAGGAATCAATTTTAAATATACTTCTTGGGAAGCCCTGGCCAAGAGAAAGTCTTAATTCCTTTGCATACCATTCTAGGGCTCCTGGTTTATGCCTAGCGCAGTTTTCTAGCTTTCCTCCTATACATGTTATACTCACCCTACTCTTCAAGGACTCCTTGCTATTTCTCAAGTTTAATATCTTTTCCCTCTCCCATCCACTGGCATACTTAAGCTCATGCTTAATTCTATTTAAAAGGCCATCTAAAGTCCTTTGATGCTTTCCTCAACTTTTTTCTCAGCTTCTTAAATCACAGACTTAATACATCCTTTCTTAATATAACTATATGGCCTTGTGTACCTGTATAACCCTTTGAGTTCAGTATTATACTTATTTATTTTATTTGGCCATCTTTGTATTTTGTGAGCTATATGGCACAGAGATTATGTCTTATTCACTTGTCACAAGTACCTAACACAGGCTTGTTCATTATTAGTTAGATAGGTTTTTACTGGCAGACTTGAAAATCTCAATGCCATCTAAGTATATATAGTTTCTCTGACAGAGTTTGAATTTCCCACAATCAACTATAAAATAACCCAGTGAAACTGAACATAATTCAAAGTTGAGCATTGCCTGTACTGTTTTCATAGAAATTCACATTTTTATTGCAAGTTATCAATACAGTTCAGCACCTGTTCATCAGTTCAGTACAAATTGAACACTTCACAAAATTAATGAGATAGACTTTTCCAAGTCCTTACTCTATTACATTAAAAGCCACATATAGCAAATATTTTGAAATATTGCTTCTCTTTTCATATTGACAAAACAGTAGGAAACAGAATAACATTTTGTTTCAAAAAGTAAATAAGTATATTGCCATGTGTTGAAAGAATGAATACATGACTCAGCAATAGGTTTACAGACAGTAGAAGAAAGCGACAATATGAAAGATCACCAACTTCATTTTTAACACATATGCTCCATGAAAAAGGAAGAGGAAATTCTAGAAACCGGTGAGGATGGAGTTGGTGATAGTGAAGCTATAGTCCAAGGGAAAGCTGGGCAGTTTGGTGAGACCATACATCACAGTACCTTACTTACTTGACTGTGTTCTCCAAAGACTCTAGGGTGATTTGGCTCTAAAAGATATCACAGTGACTAAAACACATGTAAGTTTGAAATAGTTTCCAGAATCTCAGTATGTTAATTTACAGTGAGAAATTAAAATAGGCACACAATAAAAAAGTAGGTTATCTGGTGAGTGTGGCATTAGGATAAGTGAAACTAAATGAAATAAATGCTTGATTGCATCAGGCATGAAATTGCCTGTTGTGTGCATCTTACAGTAGGGATAGTCTGACCCATAGGAAGGGAAATATTTAAATAGAATTAGCCACAATTCCTAATATCTGTCTCTATCCCAGGAATAGTCTTGTAATTTAGAATAGAAAAATTGTCAGATGCTGGTTAAAGATTTGCACCCATGAATAGTGTTTTTATGGATTGCCAGCCCTTGTTTCTCTGATTCTCCTTTTTTCTTTGCTTCCCCATTCTAATTG